CCCAGACTTTGTGCCTGACACCCTCCCAGACTTTGTGCCTGACACCCTCCAGACTTTGTGCCTGACACCCCCCCAGACTTTGTGCCTGACACCCTCCGCAGACTTTGTGCCTGACACCCCCCCCAGACTTTGTGCCTGACACCCTCCGCAGACTTTGTGCCTGACACCCTCTCCAGGTTTTGTGCCTGACACCCTCCCAGACTTTGTGCCTGACACCCTCCCAGGTTTTGTGCCTGACACCCTCTCCAGGTTTTGTGCCTGACACCCTCTCCAGGTTTTGTGCCTGACACCCTCCCAGACTTTGTGCCTGACACACCCCCTCCAGGTTTTTGCCTGACACCCCCCCCCAGACTTTGTGCCTGACACCCTCCCAGACTTTGTGCCTGACACCCCCCCCCCAGACTTTGTGCCTGACACACCCCCCCCCCAGACTTTGTGCCTGACACCCTCCCCAGACTTTGTGCCTGACACCCTCCAGACTTCGTGCCTGACACCCCCCCCAGACTTTGTGCCTGACACCCTCCCCAGACTTTGTGCCTGACACCCTCCCAGACTTTGTGCCTGACACCCTCCCAGACTTTGTGCCTGACACCCTCCCAGACTTTGTGCCTGACACCCTCCAGACTTCGTGCCTGACACCCCCCCAGACTTCGTGCCTGACACCCTCCCCAGGCTTTGTGCCTGACACCCTCTCCAGGTTTTGTGCCTGACACCCTCCCAGACTTTGTGCCTGACACCCTCTCCAGACTTTGTGCCTGACACCCTCTCCAGACTTTGTGCCTGACACCCTCTCCAGGCTTTGTGCCTGACACCCTCTCCAGGTTTTGTGCCTGACACCCTCTCCAGGCTTTGTGCCTGACACCCTCTCCAGGTTTTGTGCCTGACACCCTCTCCAGGCTTTGTGCCTGACACCCTCTCCAGGCTTTGTGCCTGACACCCTCCCCAGGCTTTGTGCCTGACACCCTCTCCAGGCTTTGTGCCTGACACCCCCCAGATTTCGTGCCAGGGCCCACAGAACCTTTGGGATTTATTCTGCTCGGGGCCCTAAAATGAACATTGATGAAGAGTCTGACTGGCAGTGGGACTGGGAACAACAGGAATTCATGGGGGGGGGGGGGGGGGACAGGATTTCTTTGGTGTCCTCATAGGAAACATTAATATTTACAATTATTCATATTATTAGATTTGTAAATTATTATTATCATTAATTGTAATAAAATAATATTTGTACATCATAAAAATAAATAATTGGGAGTAATCGCTCTCCCCCAGTAATCGCTCCCCCCAGTAATCGCTCTCCCCCAGTAATCGCTCTCTCCCAATAAATCACTCTCCCCCAGTAATCGCTCTCCCCCAGTAATCGCTCTCCCCCAGTAATCGCTCTCCCCCAGTAATCGCTCTCCCCCAATAAATCACTCTCCCCCAGTAATCGCTCTCCCCCAGTAATCGCTCTCCCCCAGTAATCGCTCTCTCCCAGTAATCGCTCTCCCCCAGTAATCGCTCTCCCCCAATAATCGCTCTCCCCCAATAAATCACTCTCTCCCAGTAATCGCTCTCCCCCAATAATCGCTATCCAGCAGTAATCACTCTCTCTCTCTCTCTCTCAATAATCGCTCTCTCCCAGTAATCGCTCTCCCCCAATAAATCACTCTCTCCCAATAATCACTCTCCCCCAATAAATCGCTCTCTCCCAGTAATTGCTCTCTCCCAGTAATTGCTCTCTCCCAGTAATCGCTCTCCCCCAGTAATCGCTCTCCCCCAATAAATTGCTCTCTCCCAATAATCGCTCTCTCCCAGTAATCGCTCTCCCCCCATTAAATCACTCTCTCCCAGTAATCGCTCTCTCCCAGTAATCGCTCTCTCCCAGTAATCGCTCTCCCAATAATCGCTCTCCCCCAGTAATCGCTCTCTCCCAGTAATCGCTCTCCCACCCCAGTAATCGCTCTCCCCCAAAAAATCGCTCTCTCCCAATAATCGCTCTCTCCCAATAATCGCTCTCTCCCAATAATCGCTCTCTCCCAATAATCGATATCCAGCAGTAATCACTCTCTCTCTCTCCCAGTAATCGCTCTCTCCCCAGTAATTGCTCTCCCCCAGTAATTGCTCTCCCCCAGTAATTGCTCTCCCCCAGTAATTGCTCTCCCCCAGTAATCGCTCTCTCCCAGTAATCGCTCTCCCCCAGTAATCGCTCTCCCCCAATAAATCGCTCTCTCTCCCAATAATCACTCTCTCCCAGTAATCGCTCTCCCCCATTAAATCACTCTCTCCCAGTAATCGCTCTCTCCCAGTAATCGCTCTCTCCCAGTAATCGCTCTCTCCCAGTAATCGCTCTCCCCCAGTAATCGCTCTCTCCCAGTAATCGCTCTCTCCCAGTAATTGCTCTCCCCCAGTAATCGCTCTCTCCCAGTAATCGCTCTCCCAAAAAATCGCTCTCTCTCCCAATAATCGCTATCCAGCAGTAATCACTCTCTCTCTCTCTCTCTCTCTCAATAATTGCTCTCTCCCAGTAATTGCTCTCCCCCAGTAATCGCTCTCCCCAGTAATCGCTCTCTCTCAATAATCGCTCTCTCTCAATAATCGCTCTCCAGCAGTAATCGCTCTCCAGCAGTAATCACTCTCTCTCTCAATAATTGCTCTCCCCCAGTAATAGCATTCTCCCAATAATCGCTCTCCCCCAGTAATCGCTCTCTCCCAATAATCGCTCTCTCCCAATAATCGCTCTCTCTCAATAATCGCTCTCCCCCAGTAATCGCTTTCTCCCAATAATCGCTCTCTCCCCCAGTAATCGCTCTCTCCCCCGGTATTCGCTCTCTCCCCTGGTAATCGCTCTCTCTCCCAATAATGGCTCTCCCCTGGTAATTTCACTCTCACGGTAATCGCTCTCTCCCAGCAATTTCATTCTCCCGGTATTGTCTCTCTCTTCTAGTAATCTCTCGCTCCCAGTAATCTCTCCCGGTAATCTCTTTTCTGGTAATCACTGTCCCCCGGTAATTTCATTCTCCCAGTAATCGCTCTCTCCTGGTAGTCTCCCTCCTGGTAATCTCTCTTCTAGTAATCGCTCGCTCCCGGTAATCTCTCTTCTAGTAATCGCTCGCTCCCGGTAATCTCTCTTCTGGTAATCGCTCGCTCGCGCTCCTGGTAATCTCTCTTCTGGTAATCGCTCGCTCCCGGTAATCTCTCTTCTGGTAATCGCTCGCTCCCGGTAATCTCTCTTCTGGTAATCGCTCGCTCCCGGTAATCTCTCTTCTGGTAATCGCTCGCTCCTGGCAATCTCTCTCCCAGTAATCTTTCTCTTCTGGTAATCGCTCGCTCCCGGTAATCTCTCTTCTGGTAATCGCTCGCTCCTGGTAATCTCTCTCTCCCGGTAATCTTTCTCTTCTGGTAATCGCTCGCTCCCGGTAATCTCTCTTCTGGTAATTGCGCTCTCCTTGTAATTGCTCTTTCCCAGTAATTTCATTCTCCCGGTAATCTCTCGCTTCTGGTAAATTCTTGGTCCCAGTAATCTCCCCCAGTAATCCCTCTCCAGGTAATCTCTCTCTTCTGGTAATCACTCCCTCCAGGTAATCTCTCTCTTCCTCCAGGTAATCTCTCTCTCCCTCCCGGTAATCTCTCTCTACCTCCCGGTAATCTCTCTCTTCCTCCCGGTAATCTCTCTCTACCTCCCGTTAATCTCTCTCTTCCACCCGGTAATCTCTCTCTCCCTCCCAGGAATCTCTCTCTCCCTCCCGGTACTCGCTCCCTCCAGGTAATTTCTCTCTTCCTCCTGGTAATCTCTCTCTATCTCCCGGTAATCTCTCTCTTCCTCCCGGTAATCTCTCTCTTCCTCCTGGTAATCACTCTCTACCTCCCGGTAATCACTCTCTCCCTCCCGGTAATCTCTCTCTCCCTCCCGGTACTCGCTCCCTCCCGGTAATCTCTCTCTTCCTCCCGGTAATCTCTCTCTCTCCCGGTAATCTCTCCTCCCAGTAATCACTCCCTCCAGGTAATCTCTCTCTCCCTCCCGGTAATCTCTCTCTTCCTCCAGGTAATCACTCTCTACCTCCTGGTATTCACTCTCTACCTCCTGGTAATCTCTCTCTCCCTCCCGGTAATCACTCCCTCCAGGTAATCTCTCTCTTCCTCCAGGTAATCACTCTCTACCTCCTGGTAATCACTCTCTACCTCCCGTAATCACTCTCTTCCTCCCGGTAATCGCTCCCTCCCGGTAATCTCTCTCAGGCTGGTTTGCTTGTGATGAGATCTCCCCAACCTTAGGACTCGCTGTCAGTGGGTAGGTGATCTCGGTGGAACTCGGTAGGATTGGCTGATTTAATTCGATGTTCCTCTGCAGGATTGTAAACTGACCGTGGAGGAAATCATGGCTCTGATGATCCTGAAATTTGAAGAAAACGTCCGGAAAGGTGGAGGAGACGGGAATACAATGAGCTGTGACCAACTGTATGACTTCGCCACCACAGAATTCCCCACCATCTGTGTAAGTGACCCCGGGGCAACCTATGGGGGGGGGAAGGGACACCCCAGAGGGCAACTAATCCCATCATTACATTTCTGATTCCTGACACCAATATGGAGAATGGACATTCATTGGAAGCTGAGGGAGGATCACCATTGTGGGAGGGGCCAAGACACAAACTACTGGGGGGAAATCACCCCATTGTGGGAGGGGCAGAGACACAAACTACTGCAGGAAATCTCACCATTGTGGGAGGGGCAGAGACACAAACTACTGGGGGGTAATCTCCCCATTGTGGGAGGGGGCAGAGACACAACTACTGGAGGGGAAATCTCCCCATTGTGGGAGGGGCAGAGACACAAACTACTGGAGGAAATCTCCCCATTGTGGGAGGGGCAGAGACACAAACTACTGGAGGAGATCTCCCCATTGTGGGAGGGGCAGAGACACCAACTACTGGGGGTAATCTCCCCATTGTAGGAGGGGCAGAGACGCAAACTATTGGGGGAAATCTCCTCATTGTGGGAGGGGCAGAGACACAAACTAGTGGGGGGAAATCGCCCCATTGTGGGAGGGGCAGAGACACAAACTACTGGAGGAGATCTCCCCATTGTGGGGGGGGCAGAGACACAAACTACTGCGGGGTAATCTCCCCATTGTAGGAGGGGCAGAGACGCAAACTATGGGGGAAATCTCCTCATTGTGGGAGGGGCAGAGACACAAACTAGTGGGGGGAAAATCCCCATTGTGGGAGGGGCAGAGACACAAATACTGGAGGAATCTCCCCATTGTGGGAGGGGCAGAGACACAAACTACTGGGAGGAAATCTCCCCATTGTGGGAGGGGCAGAGAGACACAAACTACTGGGGGAAATCTCCCCATTGTGGGAGGGGCAGAGACACAAACTATTGGGGGAAATCTCCCATTGTGGGAGGGGCAGAGACACAAACTAGTGGGGGGGGGAAATCACCCCATTGTGGAGGGGCAGAGACACAAACTACTGGAGGAGATCTCCCCATTGTGGGAGGGGCAGAGACACAAACTACTGGAGGGAGATCTCCCCATTGTGGGAGGGGCAGAGACACAAAACTACTGCGGGGTAATCTCCCCATTGTAGGAGGGGCAGAGACACAAACTACTGGGGGGAAATCTCCTCATTGTGGGAGGGGCAGAGACACAAACTAGTGGGGGGAAATCACCCCATTGTGGGAGGGGCAGAGACACAAACTACTGGAGGAGATCTCCCCATTGTGGGAGGGGAAGAGACACAAACTACTGCGGGGTAATCTCCCCATTGTAGGAGGGGCAGAGACACAAACTACTGGGGGGAAATCTCCTCATTGTGGGAGGGGCAGAGACACAAACTAGTGGGGGAAATCGCCCCATTGTGGGAGGGGCAGAGACATACTACTGAGGGAATCTCCTCATTGTGGGAGGGGCGATATACAAACTACTGGGAGGAATCTCCCCATTGTGGGAGGGGCAGAGACACAACTACTGGGAGGAAATCTCCCCATTGTGGGAGGGGCAGAGACACAACTACTGGGAGGAAATCTCCCCATTGTGGAGGGGCAGAGACACAAACTTTTAGAGGAAATATAACAAACTGAAGATGAAACCCCTCCCCCCTCCTCCATCCTACAGGCGATCGTCAAGAAGGATGAGGTCCTGAAGGAATTAATCAGCAAGATTGACGCCAACAACGACAAGAAGGTGACCTTCGAGGAATTGATGAATTTCTCGTGTTCCGTGGCCACAGCCCTAAGGGACAGCTTGAAGGAGTAGCATTCTGAGCGCAGGGGGCGGGGCTACATTGACCAAATTCAGTGATTGGGCAATCTTTCAATAAAAAAGTATAAAGATTTGGATATGACGTCGGCCTCATCGGCAGTTTCTGGTCCGCTTCTTACAAACGATCTTATTGGTCGATTTCTCTGGCTTCACCTAATAGTGGAAGTCGGCAGCGACCAATCAGAAACGAGAACCATAAAACGCAACTCCGCAGATAAAAGAAAGTGATATGTGGTATTGTTACATATTCTGAGGTTTAGAAATCAGGCTGCCAGGGGGAGGGCTCTGTACTGTGAGCCAATCGCACTACAGCGCCCCCTGCTGTTCTACTTTATATGTAACCTTTCAATGGTACAAATTTGCAACACTGCCCCCCGCTGTCTGGTGTCATATATAACCTCACAATCATGAATTGCTGCAACACTGCCCCCCGCTGTCTGGTGTCATATATAACCTCACAATCATGAATTGCTGCAAACACTGCCCCCCGCTGTCTGGTGTCATACGTAACCTCACAGTCATGAATTGCTGCAAAACTGCCCCCCGCTGTCTGGTGTCATACGTAACCTCACAATCATGAATTGCTGCAACACCGCCCCCCCCGCCCCCGCTGTCTGGTGTCATACGTAACCTCACAATCATGAATTGCTGCAACACCGCTTCCCGCTGTCTGGTGTCATACGTAACCTCACAGTCACGAATTGCTGCAACACTGCCCCCCGCTGTCTGGTGTCATACGTAACCTCACAGTCATGAATTGCTGCAACACCGCCCCCCGCTGTCTGGTGTCATACGTAACCTCACAATCATGAATTGCTGCAACACCGCCCCCCCGCTGTCTGGTGTCATACGTAACCTCACAATCATAATTGGCTGCAACACTGCCCCCCGCTGTCTGGTGTCATACGTAACCTCACAATCATGAATTGCTGCAACACTGCCCCCCGCTGTCTGGTGTCATATGTAACCTCACAATCATGAATTGCTGCAACACACTGCCCCCCGCTGTCTGGTGTCATATATAACCTCACAGTCATGAATTGCTTGCTGCAACACTGCCCCCCGCTGTCTGGTGTCATACGTAACCTCACAATCATGAATTGCTGCAACACTGCCCCCCGCTGTCTGGTGTCATACGTAACCTCACAATCATGAATTGCTGCAACACTGCCCCCCGCTGTCTGGTGTCATACGTAACCTCACAGTCATGAATTGCTGCAACACCGCCCCCCGCTGTCTGGTGTCATATGTAACCTCACAATCATGAATTGCTGCAACACTGCCCCCCGCTGTCTCTGGTGTCATATATAACCTCACAGTCATGAATGCTGCTGCAACACTGCCCCCCGCTGTCTGGTGTCATACGTAACCTCACAATCATGAATTGCTGCAACACTGCCCCCCGCTGTCTGGTGTCATACGTAACCTCACAATCATGAATTGCTGCAACACTGCCCCCCGCTGTCTGGTCTGGTGTCATACGTAACCTCACAGTCATGAATTGCTGCAACACTGCCCCCCGCTGTCTGGTGTCATAGGTAACCTCACAGTCATGAATTGCTGCAAACACTGCCCCCCGCTGTCTGGTGTCATACGTAACCTCACAATCATGAATTGCTGCAACACTGCCCCCCGCTGTCTGGTGTCATATATAACCTCAAAATTAAGGCGGTATTAAACCCATAAATCTAATATACTGCAGCTTACCAATGTGGCGGCTGCATTAGTTTTCTTTTAAAAGGTTTCCCCCCCTCTGTTTTTTTTTACCTGGTGATCCAACCGGTAACACTTCTCCTGTATTAGAGCGCCCCCCCCCCCCCCCCCACACTCTGGATGACTCTGGATGAAGGAGAACAGAGCCACCCAAAACGTAATATACTGTAGATACAAATCCTTAGATGTGGCGGCTGCATTTGTTTTCTTTTTAAAGGCTTTTTTCCTCCCTCTGTTTTCACCTGGTGATCTGGTCAGTAACACACCTCCTGTATTAGAGCGCCCCCACTCTGGATGAAGGAGCACAGGGGGCACCTTTGGACAGCAGCATTTTTAGTTGGTGGGGAGGGGAGTGTTGGATGGACTAGCGGATTTAGATACACTAAGAATATGAAAGCGAACTCGGATAAAAGATTTCATATAAATAAAAGAAGCCGATTATCGTGAGCATCCCTGTGGCAAATGGTTTGTCTCAACCCTCTAAATGCTACATCTGCAGGACAGATGGTTGTATAAAAAAAAGCATCAGACTTACTGGCCAAATCACTGAGAAACCTAAAAAAAAAGAAAACAAATGCAGCCGTCACATCGAAGGATTGATAAGGTGCAACAGGGGAAAGGTTTGCTTTGGGGTGTAATACGGCTTTAATTGCTGCAACAGCGCCCTCTGCTGTTCTCCTGTATATAAGACCTCACATGGGTACAAAGCGACAACAGCGCCCCCTGCTGTTCTCCTGTATATAAGACCTCACATTGGTACAAAGCGACAACAGCGCCCCCTGCTGTTCTCCTGTATATAAGACCTCACATGGGTACAAAGCGACAACAGCGCCCCCTGCTGTTCTCCTGTATATAAGACCTCACATGGGTACAAAGCGACAACAGCGCCCCCTGCTGTCCTTCTGTATATAAGACCTCACATGGGTACAAAGCGACAACAGCGCCCTCTGCTGTCCTTCTGTATATAAGACCTCACATGGGTACAAAGCGACAACAGCGCCCCCTGCTGTTCTGTATATAAGACCTCACATTGGTAGAAAGTGACAACAGCGCCCTCTGCTGATCTCCTGTATATAAGACCTCACATGGGTACAAAGTGACAACAGCGCCCCCTGCTGTTCTCCTGTATATAAGGCCTCACATGGGTACAAAGCGACAACAGCGCCCCCTGCTGTTCTGTATATAAGACCTCACATGGGTACAAAGCGACAACAGCACCCTCTGCTGTTCTTCTGTATATAAGACCTCACATGGATACAAAGCGACAACAGCGCCCTCTGCTGTCCTTCTGTATATTAGGCCTCACATGGGTACAAAGTGACAACAGCGCCCTCTGCTGTCCTTCTGTATATTAGGCCTCACATGGGTACAAAGCGACAACAGCGCCCTCTGCTGATCTCTCTGTATATAAGACCTCACATGGGTACAAAGCGACAACAGCGCCCTCTGCTGTTCTTCTGTATATAAGACCTCACATGGGTACAAAGCGACAACAGCGCCCCCTGCTGTTCTCCTGTATATAAGACCTCACATGGGTACAAAGCGACAACAGCGCCCCCTGCTGTTCTTCTGTATATAAGACCTCACATTGGTACAAAGCGACAACAGCGCCCTCTGCTGTTCTCCTGTATATAAGACCTCACATGGGTACAAAGCGACAACAGCGCCCCCTGCTGTTCTCCTGTATATAAGACCTCACATGGGTACAAAGCGACAACAGCGCCCTCTGCTGATCTTCTGTATATAAGACCTTACATGGGTACAAAGCGTCAACAGCGCCCCCTGCTGATCTTCTGTATATAAGACCTCACATGGGTACAAAGCGACAACAGCGCCCCCTGCTGTTCTATATATAAGACCTCACATGGGTACAAAGTGACAACAGCGCCCCCTGCTGTTCTCCTGTATATAAGACCTCACATGGGTACAAAGCGTCAACAGCGCCCCCTGCTGTTCTCCTGTATATAAGACCTCACATGGGTACAAAGCGACAACAGCGCCCCCTGCTGATCTTCTGTATATAAGACCTCACATGGGTACAAAGCGACAACAGCGCCCCCTGCTGTTCTGTATATAAGACCTCACATGGGTACAAAGCGACAACAGCGCCCCCTGCTGTTCTCCTGTATATAAGACCTCACATGGGTACAAAGCGACAACAGCGCCCCCTGCTGTTCTATATATAAGACCTCACATGGGTACAAAGTGACAACAGCGCCCTCTGCTGTTCTCCTGTATATAAGACCTCACATGGGTACAAAGCGACAACAGCGCCCTCTGCTGTTCTTCTGTATATAAGACCTCACATGGGTACAAAGCGACAACAGCGCCCTCTGCTGTTCTCCTGTATATTAGGCCTCACATTGGTACAAAGCGACAACAGCGCCCTCTGCTGATCTTCTGTATATAAGACCTCACATGGGTACAAAGCAACAACAGCGCCCCCTGCTGTTCTTCTGTATATAAGACCTCACATGGGTACAAAGTGACAACAGCGCCCCCTGCTGTTCTTCTGTATATAAGACCTCACATGGGTACAAAGTGACAACAGCGCCCCCTGCTGTTCTTCTGTATATAAGACCTCACATGGGTACAAAGTGACAACAGCGCCCTCTGCTGTTCTTCTGTATATAAGACCTCACATGGGTACAAAGTGACAACAGCGCCCCCTGCTGTTCTTCTGTATATAAGACCTCACATGGGTACAAAGCGACAACAGCGCCCTCTGCTGTTCTCCTGTATATAAGACCTCACATGGGTACAAAGTGACAACAGCGCCCTCTGCTGATCTTCTGTATATAAGACCTCACATTGGTACAAAGCGACAACAGCGCCCTCTGCTGTTCTCCTGTATATAAGACCTCACATGGGTACAAAGTGACAACAGCGCCCCCTGCTGAACTTCTGTA